GCGCTGATCCCAGCATTGTAGCAGATGGCGCTGGGCCCCAGCTTCACCTCCAGCATCTCGCTCGCCAGCGCGAGCGCCCACTGCTACTGCTCGCCCTCCACGCGCGCGCTGACCCCAGCGCTATAGCTGACCTCGTCGGACAATATCATAGCGCATGCCCCGCTCGCACAGCCTGGCCACAAGTCCACGGCCACTGGCCCGGTCACAAGTCCACGGCGCTTGGCGCAACCCTCACTTCCCCCATCTCGCTGAGCAGCGACAGAGCCCTCTGCCACTGCTCGCCCTTTTCGCCCGCACCGGTCCCAGCGCTGTAGCTGATGACGCCGGGCTCCAGTTTCGCCCCCCGCATCTCGCTCAACAGTGCCAGCGACGGCCGCCGCTGCCCGCCCTGCTCGCGGCGCGCTGATCCCAGCGCTGTAGCCGACGACGTCGGGCTCCAGCTTCGCCCCGCACATCTCGCCCAGCAGCGCGAGCGCCCGCTGCTGCTCGCCCATCTCGCGCGCGCTGATCCCAGCGTTGTAGCTGACGACGTCGGGCTGCACTTCCGCCTTCAACATCTCGCACATCGCGCAAAGCAGCGCCAGAGCCCGCTGCCACTGCCCACCTCTCTCGCACGCGCTGATCCCAGCGCGGCAGCTGATGGCGCTGGGTTCCAGCTTCGCACACACACACACACACACACACACACACACACACACACACACACACACACACGCACGCACGCACGCACGCACGCAAACACACACCACACACACACACACACACACACCACCACACACACACACACACACACACACACACACACACACACACACACACACACACACACACACACACACACACACACACACACACACACACACACACACACACACACACACACACACACACACACACACACACACACACACACACACACACGCACATCTCGCTCGGCAGCGCCACAGCCCACTGCAACTGCTCACCCTTGGCGCACGGGCCGACCCCAGCGCTGTGGCTGATGACGGCGGGCTCCAGTTGCTCATCTGATACTTCCCTCAGCAGCGCCAAAGCCCGCTGCTACTGCCCGCCCATAATTGCGCGCGCTGATCCCGCCGCCGTAGCCGATGACGGCGGGCGCCAGCTTCGCCTCCGCAACTCGCCCAGAAGCGCCAGCGCCCGCTACCACTGCTCGCCCTTCTCGCGCGCGCTGACCCCAGCGCCGAAGCTGGCGACGTCGGGCTGAACTTCCGCCTTCAACATCTCGCAAGGCAGAGCCAGAGCCCGCTGCCACTGTCCGCCCTTCTCGCGCGTGCTGATCCCAGCGCTGTAGCTGGCGACGGCGGGCTCCAGCTTCGCCCCCCGCATCTCGCCCAGCAGCGCCAGTGCCCGCTGCCGCCTCGGCAGCGCCGAAGCCCGCTGCCACTGCCCGCCCTTCTTGCACGCGCCGACCCCGACGCTGAAGCTGACGACGGCGGGGTCCAGCCCACCCTCCCGCATCTCCCAAAGCAGCGCCAGCGCCCTCTGCCACCGCCCGCCCTTCTCGCACTAGCTGGCCCCAGCGCCGTAACTGAAAATGTCATGCTCCAGCTTCACATCCCGCATCTCACTAAGCACTGACAAGGCATGTTGCCACTGCCCGCCGTTCCTGCATGCACTGAAAGTCGCAGTGTAGCGGCTTGGGGCGACTTGTGCACTCAATAGAACTTCTCCGCGGAGCAACCGCAGCGCTGCGTCCCACTGCTATGTCCGACCGCAGTTCACGATCGACGCTGCGAAGGAGTCAGCGCCTTCCTGGGACCATCGACCGATGTCCAGCATCCGAAACGACACCTCTCCGCACCTCGAGCATCCTCGAGCATCCTTGATCCTCCTCCTCCTCGCCCTCCTCCTCCGCCCCCCCCCCCCATCGCCGCCATCATCACCGTCATCACCCCCGCCCTCTTCCTAGAAAGGCGGCCCGAGCAGCACCTCGCGCTCACCAGCGACCTCCCGGAGCCGAGCGCGGAAGAGCGCAGCCAGGCACAAAACGCCCCCTGCGCGCACCTCGGGGCCACGAGGCGGCGCCTCCAGGCACGCGCCCCGGCCCAGCCTGCACCGCCAGACACGCCCAGACGGGGCCAGACCCACCAACGGAGAGGGCAACTGCATCATGGGGCGCGCAGGGCAGGAATCCCAGGGCACCAGAGAAGGGATGCTGCCCGCGGGCGGCGAGGGCGCAGCTGGCGCTGCAGCGTCCTCAAAGGGCCCCGCCGGGGAAATGGATCCAGGAGGCGACGGAGGCCGCGGGCGCCGAGGCCGCGGCGCGCGCGGCGCGCGCGGCCGCGAGGGGCGAGGGCTCCGAGGAGTAGATCCACGAGGCCGCGCCAGACAGCGGAGGCGGAGCGCGCGCCCACTGGAGGGGGCCGCGCGGATGGGCCCCAGACGACATCGCGGATGAGACGCCAGCTAGCGGGCAGCACCGCGCCCGGGCAATCGCCGACGACCGGTCTGAGGAGGCGCGGAAGGGTCAAACTGGACAGCGCCGGGCGCAGGCCGGCAGCGGCGAGCAGCCACGGGGCGCCACCCCCGAGACCTTCGGTCGCGGAAGTACTCGAGAGTCATCCCGCACCTTTGCGGGAGCGCAGGCGCGGGAGGCGACCGCACGAACCCGGGGCAAGCAGCTTTGCTCAGCGACGAGCTACTGGAGGCCATGGTCGACGTCGGCCTGCAGCGCGAGGACATCGGGGGCGGCCCGGTCTCATCGCGGGCTCCATGGCGGTCATGCTTCCCAAGCCGCAGGGGGCTTCCGACCTGATGGGCTCTCAGGATGGCACCCTCGTCTCTGGAATCGCACCCCTGGAATCGCACCCGACAGTCGGCGGCGAGGCGGCGGGGAAGGAGCATCGGCGAGGGCCTGGTCGGTTGCTTCAGTAGGGCGGCGAAACCTGCACAGATCCACTGCTCCCTGCGGCAGCCATGCTCATTGCCTTGAGGAAAGCACGCGAGGTGGTCGACCGCACTCACCCAGCAGAGCGGCATCCTCGAGAAGCGCCCGCGAGGATTACCCACGAAGGCAACGTCCGTCCACGCGGGAGACAGGCGCATCACGTTAGACGGATGGGCCTCGATGGGCCCCTTTCTGAACGCGGGCCTCATCGCCGGGCGCGGCCACGCAGAGCGCCCGCTGAAGGGCGGCCTGCTGCAGGCGGCGAACGGGCGCGCCAGAACGCGCAGGGCGCTGCAGCCGAGGGCCAACCTTGCCATCATGTTCGACGCTTGCTGCCTGACGCGCTATGGACCAACGGCAAAGGTGGCAACATGCCTTTCAGGGGCAACCAAGATGGTCGCCCAGGGCCTGGTCAGCCTGGAACGCGGCATCTCCTAAGTACGAGGAGCTGGCGAGCTCGTCGGCCGCGGCATCGCTAACCGCGAAGCCCATGGGTGGCCTGGCTTCCCCGAGGGCAGAGAGCGTCAAGAACCTGGAAACTAACTTCTGACATCACAGGCGCTCATCATAGCCGGAGGAAGAAGGGGGAGTGCAGCAGCCCAGCTGAAAAAAAAAAAAAAAAAAAAAAAAAAAAAAAAAAAAAAAAAAAAAAAAAAAAAAAAAAAAAAAAAAAAAAAAAAAAAAAAAAAAAACAGAGGCGCATGCTGTTCGCAGGCAGGGCACCGCTGCTGCCCGTCGCCTCGCGGACACAGGAATCGGACCAATGACGAGGCGCGGAGCCAGCGCCGCGACAGGCCGACGCCATTGCTGGCGACATGGAGGAGCCAAGTAAGCGCTGCACATCGTAGGCAAGCAGAAGGTAGAAGCTTGAAC